ATTTGTGGGTTAAAAGTTACGATAATAAGTCAGAATTCAATGTATGACTTGCGTTGGAATTTGCGCGTTCGGCATAAAAATTCAAAATTAAAACTAAAATAAATTTATAAATATTTACTTATTTATTATTTATATAACTGGGAGAACGCATACACAAAGTAAAATAATTCAGCGTTTATTTGTATATTATGTTTACATTTATTAACCTTCATATGTATACAGACATAAAGGGTCTACCAAAAAGAACAACGTGATGTTAAAATAAAATGGGTTTTGTTTTTTTGTTATGCAGATAATTTTATGCCATTTATGATTTTATCAAAATGTCGGTCAAATGGCCACCACGACTCCACCGTGGCGGTAGACCCGTTTACGCCAATTTTCGATGACCAAATGCAGCATTTCGACTGGAATTTGGGCTATAGTACGCTGAATGTTGTCTCGAGCTCCTCGAGCGTTGCTTGTAAATGTTTGCTTTAACATACCCCCAAAGAAAATAATATAGAGGCGTTAAATCGCATGACCCTGGCGGCCATTTGCACGCAATGTGTCCATGTTTAGACGTGAAATATGCGGCGGCGCACCATCTTGTTAGAAATAGAGATCGTCCGCGTCGATTTCATTAAAAATCGGGGGAAAAAATTGGTCAATATCGTGTTATGACGCTCTCTATTGATGGTAACGGCATTCCCTGCCTCATTTCAAAAGAAATACAGCCTGATGATACGGCCTTCGCACCAAACGGCCAATTTTGGGGATGTAATTGCGTTTCCTGGACCACATGAGGATTTGACTCACCCCAATAGCGACAATTTTGTTTGTTGACGCAGACATTAAACAAGAAATGGGGTTCATCTGAGAAGATAATTTTTCGATGAACGTGAATTTGTGAGTTTTGCGGAGAACGTGTATTTGCATAATAATTTTGGACACTTTCCAAGCCTTGTACCAAAGTGAAGCGAGATATGACGAAATGGCAAACTTTATTGAACACACTGACAAAATTTGACACAAATACGTAAACAAATATGGTCAGCACGAGCTGTAAAAATCACGACATCCCTACTAGTAGACGCTTTATACATACATACACAAAGAAAGAAAATTTTTCTTGACATACCTACAGAAACACAGTACAGTTTTGTCTCGACTTAAAGCTCTTGTTTTGGAATTTTCACTGCTTTTTTTGGCCTTTCAGCGACGTAGAGCGTAACATGGAAAGTGCATTTACATTTGGCCTTACGCGTAAAAATCAGAGCATGCCTTCACCCGTACTTTCGACTAAGCACGTACATACATATGTATGTACGTGGATTAAGACATATGTATGTATGTATATATAGCTATAAAGCCATGAAAATAGAGGCTGACAAAGGATTAGAAACGCTTTATAAAAATCATTTTCCAGATATAAACAAATAAGAGAAAATTTATAAATATTTGTGGTAAAATTAAAAAACCCTCATAGACATTTATTTTTAATAAACAAAATATATGCAACTCCAGCGAATATGCTAATGTATATTTGTAAAAATAATATACATATACATACATATGTTATATATATAATAATTAAATAATATATAATTTTTTTAAATTCGTTAGGCATTTCTTTAATTAATTCAATATATGTACATATATTATCCAATATTTGAACAAAATTTTGAATTAAATCATTAACAGTTATTTAATTCCTCGGTAAATTAAACAAAATAACGTGCGTTATTGAGACTTCGACTACATAATAAAAAAAAAAGTTTATTTAGGTAAATTATTAAAGGAAAATAATTATTTTCTAAAAATTATTTAATTTATTTCTTGTTTGCTCATTTTACTTATGCAATAGCAAAGAAAGAGGTAATTAAAAAGAGCATTTTAAATCGTTTAAAGTATGCATAAACTAGAAAGTAAAATTAACGCAGATACTAATAGCTAAAATTAGTACAGGTTTTACGAGCTTTGCTTGCTGGGTTCACGGTTGAAGGATTTCCAGTACTGGCTTAAGAAATCATTATGGCATATAATAACATTGAGTTTGGTTTCAACGCTACTTGGCTTGGCAAATATACATACAAAAGAAAACATATTTTCATACTTAGACCATTCGTTTTTTATTCAAGTCTGTAGAGTGAAAATTCTCTCGTTATATTTGCGCTGAGTGTACATACTTGGCATTATACCGTTAAGTAATACAAGTTGCCTCTATATTAGATACTACTTAAATCGTAGACTTGGATCCTCTACTCCCATGTAATTGTTACACTTTTTTTAAATAATGTTAAAGTGTTGTCATAGCCTTTAAAAATAGTTTGATAGAAAAAAATTAAAAATTCGTTACCCGGATATGCATATGTACATATATACAAACATGTGTAATTGGGAGTCACAGCGCTTACAGAGCAGAATGTTTTATACGTATGCTAGACCAAAATTAATAGAAGTATTTTTATTTCATAATACAATAAAACATGATATTTATACTCGAAAAAATTCTTAAGTCACTTTTGACCAAAAATATTTTTTAATTCGATAACTATTTGCTATTGACAAAAAACAACGCGGTTTATATTCAGCATAATCTACATTCTATCGCAGGTGCATAGATTTTTATATTAAGTGGGTGTCAAATTAAAAACATCTCAAATTTCTAAAATTAAGCAAAAATACAAATATTTGCGTATATTTTATCTAAAAGTAAAAAACAAAGAGTTAAAAAGTACAAAGCTGATAAGTTACTAAAAAAAAACTAATTTTACGTTAGTATTATGAAAATCCAGATACATTTTTTTTTAATCAATCTCAATTTTTATAACGTTTTTACAAAAGACAACTCAAACCAAAAAATAATATATAATAAAAAGTTAAAATACATTAATTGCCAATAATAATACTAGTGCAATAAAGAGTGTGAAAATACTTTTGTTTATCAAAACCACCGAAAGGAAAAACAACCTGCAAAAGAAAAATAAACACAAAATATTTTTCACCATGCTTTGCTGCAGCCACCATAGTTATATACATATGTACATACAAACATAAACATACAAAATATGTGCGAGCGAAAGAACGCAAATATCGAAGAAACAGAGGATAAAACAGCGCGTAAGGGAAAAGTTAAAAAATTAACAGCATACAAGAATGTTAATTTTTTTTTCGTTTTTTACACCAACAAGAAGATATATGTTATTTTTCTTGCTGATAAGACAGCGACAGTATATAAATAACTCATTTCAATGAATTTTCGTTTCATTTGTCTCAAGAATTAATCATTTCTTTTTGTCAACACCACTTGCGACGCTTGTTGTCTTTATTATCTTTTGCAGCGGCGCAGCTTTGCGCGCACAAACAAACCATTCAGTCGACGCAGTCGAACGACCTCAACGACGCACCCCCCACCCACTTTATAGTTGTCGTTGATTTGCTTCACTCCTTGCATTAAGTTGGCACGTATTTTCGGGCGAGAAGGAAATAAGCGCACTTTTTACAGAATTTAACGCTGCCGAAAATGTAGATAGGTACTCCGCAAATAAACGACCATATCGAAAGACTTCCAAAGGCTGGACGATATTGAACGGGCGTGCGCGTAACCGTACCGAAAACAGAAACACACATGTAAACAAGTACAAATACACCGGAGGTGCGCCGATTTTACGGGTGAATTTACCGCAAGGCGCTGTCAGCAAAATTTTCGGTTTTTTGTATGTAAATATTTCGCAAAGGAATAAATTACTTTTTATTTAGTGACTCACAGATATGTAAAATTTATAGCCACTTTCAGCTATTGCGCTTTCGTACTGAAATTATTGCTTCAAACTGGCACTCTGCTTTGATTTTATTTGCACTAATGATTAGACAGAAAATTGATTTTCATTTCGATTTTTCTCCGATTGCTTCAACTTCAATATGTCTCACTACACACCAATGACGTTTTATGTTATTTCTAAATGCAAATTTTTCAGGTTTTTGACACTTTTTTATATATGTACATATAAATGCAAAATCCTTTACATTTTTCACTAGCACCATTTTTTACTTTTTCTAATATTCCTATAAGCCTTCAACATATTTTCACCTACATTTCGTTTTGTGCGTTATCTCCCAGCGATTTGTTTGGTAATAATTCAAAATTATATCGATTTACACACAAGTTTTTCACAAAATTTCACCAATTCGCTGTGAATAAAACTCGAAATAAACTCCGTTCACAAGATGAACACACAAATGAAACGAGCTAACTGAATAACTGAAGAAGAAATAAAAGAACCATTTAACAGCAGCGATTTGTGAGCGAAAGGTGCGAAAGTGGTAACAAAAGCAAATTGGAAATCCATGGAAATATATATATGTGGCTTTTGATTGTGTTCGTAGGTTTGTTTTGGTGTGTACCGCACAGTGTTGTATTCGAATGGTGAATTTGTAGCAAAGTGTTATATTCAGAACAGCTGATTCGAAAAGTTAATGTGAGGAAGTAGTTTAGGCGGTAATAACCGTAGTTTGATTTCTTTATTTTAAAATGCGGCGTACTTGTGTATGATAATAACAAATTTGTGAAGTTTAGTCAGTTTTTGTGGTTTCAAGTGTGAAATATATTTTATTCTTCTCAAATGGAATATGTTAAAGTAGTACAAACTGAAGGTAGTGTGTAAAATGTTTCCTAAATGCAAAAACGAACAAGGTGCCCATGATCACCGCCAGCTCGTAACTTGGAAGCTTTGTACAAAAAACCTCAGCAAATGTAAGAAGTGGTAATTTGATTAAAGAATTGCAATTGAGAAGAGTAAACAACCACGCACTCAGTGCGGCATCCAATTTAACTGCAACGTGAATGTATATTAATACATATATTCGCAATACCCAACCTCTTACTAGCATACTGTCTAGCAGCTTAGTGATAGCATCTGTGCCTACTCTTACTCCATATGCATTTATAAATACGCATCTACATATGTACATTTGTAAAAACCGCGCAAAACTGTGTTCGTACTAAAAAATTTAAAATATCTGGATCTACATCTGATGATAAAGATTTTATTTTAATTTTTTGCTTTGCCGAACAACTCTGTCAAAGTTCTATATTTACATTTATATACAAATTTACACACGTACGTAAATGCACCATGTAATAATATATGTATGTAATAATATATAGTATTTCTACAAGCTGTTGATTGAAGTTTTAACGTATTACATTACCATTTAACAGTTAATTTAAAATTTTTTTCGATTTATCTTAGTTGAATATTGTGTCAAAATTTTAACTCGTTTAGACTACCACCGTTCGTATTGAAATTTTGAACACTATTTCATAATTTACGAAGAAAAGCTGGAGAGTTTTTTCAAGTTTGTTAATATTTTTCGTTCTATAATAACAAATTAACCGATTTTTTCAAAAAATCTCTTTTTTTCTTCGAAGTGTTCCCAAAAAGTGACAAATTCAATTTTCGAAAACTCCACCTAGCTTAGCCGGGGCAAATCGATTATCTAATGTTATAATTTAGATTTTTCGATTTCAGATGATCCAGCATCGTGGTAAGAGGGGTACCGAAATTGAACGTGTTTCAGAGACGCTCCAGAGTAAGTGCTGCCATTCCTGTATTTTTTTTAAATTTCTTTCTTTCTTAATATATCTATTGCTATAATGTACCATCGGTTGTCAAAAATAGATTTTAACTGTTTCATCAAATGAAATCATTCAAATGAGCATGATTTTACACAACATTACCTATTCAGTTCCACGTAATCAAATAATATACCTACAGCTTTAAACAAAAAGTTAGAGGTTATAATAACCACGAAGGCAAACCCGTTAGTCGGGTTTAATTATTTAAAAAATAAAACTTCAGAGCCTATTTTATATATAATACTACAAACATATTTATATAGGTACAGGTATTATATATATATAAATTTACAATTTGTTTTTCTTAATTACTACCCTTATATATAACAACACATAATAAATTCAAGAATAATTCAATTTGACGTACTCACTCATATCTTCTTATATTAAAATATATATAAACTTTATTAAATACTAAAAACAAAATACTCAGCTGTTGTTTTCCAGCTACACTCTTATACTTTAAATCGCCACGTTTTCAAGCGCTCAAGAATATTGAATCGAAAGGTATCTCCTCAAATAGCTTATTCGATATATCACGGAAAATTTTACCAAAACTACGCGCATAGCCAACTTTTAGCTCATTGAACACGGTCTCCCAATTATCGTTCAAAAAACGATTCATTGTTTGTGATAGTAAACGATCATTGAAGAGATTATCAAATTGCATATAAACACGTTTTGGATTAAAATCAACACGATACTCTTTCAAACGCATATATTTAACGCCATCGCGCATGAAGGGTTCGCCAATGAGACGATGTTCAATCCGTGTATTGATCAATGTCAGATTCGCTTTGCCATTACCCGTTATAGGTAGCAATAGTATACGTCCCGACATTTCATAATCGCCAACCATTTCGATACGATCGGTTTTACTGTCGCAAATGATCAGATGATTGTTTAGATCAGTGCTAAATATGAAGAAGAAAAAAACTTAGTTGAAAGAGTTGTGTGCATTAAATGCAATTTAAGCATACCGATAGCGCTGTACTTTGCTGGTCGAGATCATGTCATGCACGAGTAAATTTTTCATCGTTTGCTTTAACGTAATTGGTGCATTGCCGGAATCGATGACTAGCGATTTAACAGCGAGTGGTTCTAGTGGTGGTATGCCGAACTCCTTGTTGCCTGAAAATGGTGTGAACAACATCCTATGGAAAGTGAATTTTAAGAAATAAAGAATATTTTACCATCCTTGAGCAGCAAGATTGCATTGTTTACAGCATCCACTAGGCATTTGTCAAAATTCGCATCGCGTTTGCATTTGTCTAAATTTGGCGCTAAAATTAAAAAAAAAATATATAAGGAACCCGTTAGAATCTGTTTGAATTTTTAAAATAATTTATATTAATATCCAAGTACTTAACAGATTATTCAAATTCCTTTTTTTAACGCTGTGATCTCTAAAGCTATAAGCTTATATAGTAATAGTCCTTGAACCCAGCAAATGTATATAAGTAATACCATATGTGTATGTAACCCAGCTAGCTGATACTTTTATGATTTAAAGAACAAAATATGCCATTTCTTTGTGCATTTTTTCCTTATTTAATTGTCTTTAGCTTTAAGAGCTGATCGCGCACGCGTACATTAATAGTACACGTAAATAAGTCGCCAACTCCTATGCATACAAAGTGCGACGCACAGAAAAAATAATGAGCTTTGGGGAATTAAGAAATACGTACATATATATTATATTAATGTATGTACATGAGTACATAACTATATAAAATATATATAAATTTATATAGTTTTTAGCATCTGCTAAAAGCACAATGCCGCGAACGTGCTCAAAATACGGGTGCACACCTATTTTTTGTAAGAAATACCAACATTGAGAAGAGAGCCGATCGAGCGCATCGTTGCCTTATTAAGGAAGTCTAGCGTGTCTACATAATAGTTATTTAACATACGTATACTCGTATTTAGAGCCATTTGCATGTTCATGTTCATATACTTGTATGTATATAAGTAGATGATTGGCCGTTCTTCCCTATTTTTCGTAGAAATCAAATCCATTCAAAACGATACATCATAAGAAATTAAAATTTAAACGCTAAGATTTTATTCCTACTCCGATTTTATTCATTATGGGTGTCAGTGTCATAAAAAAAGGCAATTAATATTTTTATTATACAATTTTTCTATTACTTATTTATTACCATTACAAGAATACAGGAAAAAATGAAAAAATTAAAATATAAAAAATTTTTAAATTTCAAAAATTAGCAGCTGATAAAGTTGGGGTTTCAAAAAAATTGGCGCCACGATTTCAACCCTCCTAGCAACCTGAAACCAAAAAACTTATTAATCTAGAATAATAGAATAATGTCGCAATGTCTGGAACTACGGAAAAGTTGTAAAAAAAAAATTTTCACAAAATGGCGATTGTCTAAAAAAAAAAACAATTGTTGTACAACTTTTTTGACTGTTTCGAATTTTTTAAATAATAGTAAAAATTTGGGAAAGTGGATAGGGCCACAAGTTCATAAAAAAGGCTCTCTAAAACTTTCAGGTAAATCGGTCCAATAGAACCTGAGAAATCATGGTTATCATTTTGAAAAAGACAGTTTTGCGAAAAACGTGTTTAAAGTTTCAGTTCCGGCCAGCTGAGTAAAATACCGATATCTCCGAAAATAATTTGAATTTTGAAAAATCCACTTATCTACATGTCTATTCTTAAATAGTTAAAGCTTGAAAATATAAAAAAAATCGATTTTTTTATTTCTAGACTAGAATAATCAATTTTAAAGTGAATAATTGAGGTATTAAAGTCAATTATTCAGGCGATGTAACTGATAGATTCTTAAAAATAAAGTAGTAAGCTTCAAAGTTTGAGTTTTTTTTTTTCAAAGTTTGATTTTATCAAATCGCCTACAATAACCGATACAGAGGCCATAGAGGCCATAGAAATTCAGAAAAAGGTAAAACAGTGGATTTGAACAAGTTATTGATAGTTTCTTATATTTTGGTTTTTATAGAAACTTCTCGATATAGAGAACAAGAAATTTTATTTATTACTTTCAATTTAACACACCAAAATAGTGCAAAATACCATACAGGAAATAAATTTCGGTCAAATTTAAGCATATAAACAGGTTGCCGCTCAAGGCCTACAAAAGACATGTTAAATGCTTAGCGACATTGAATAAATGCCAAACTCACAACATAACCTCAGTCATGGTATGCGCTCTTATGAGATTACGACAAAATGCGAACAATTCGTAAAGTTCATTAGCACTGACACAATCAACATAACAATAACAACGTAATGCCGATAACTAATCAAAAATGATGCGTTTCAAACATAAAACAACAACTAAACTGTACTGATTTCAGTATGAGTATTCACAGCATTCATACAAATAGAGCGGCGTGCTAATAACACAGAGATGAAAACTTGTTTGACACCGTGTACGTAAAGTCGAAAATGCATGGCTCAGCAGCAGCTTTTGGTTCAATGTCAAGTTGAAGTACCAATCTCAACAACAAAATAGCGGTGCTAAGCATCGATAGCAACAATTGGTTGAAGCAAAATTAAAGGAGTGATAAACTTAAGTGTACTCATTAAATTTAAATAATTAATAGCTTTTACATGTTTTACTGAAAAAATATGTATGCAAATTTCCAATCGATCTACATATATGCAAAATGTAGCTACTTGTCAATTTGGCATTTTGTTCATCCATATAGCGTCTCTAGTTTGACGTCAGTGGAAAATAACTCTAAAAAAATAATTTTACTTTCTTTAAAGTTTTGCGCGAAATTAAAGTTATTAATTGTGAACCGAAATATTTTAGATTCGCTGCAGAGACCCAACCATTTGTTTATTATTCAAGCACGCAGAAGCGGTTCACTTTTTTATACCCAGAAAAGGGTAAATTAAGACGCAGAAGGACATGTCAGAGACCCTAAAAATATATATATATGTAGGTACAATTCAAAAGACTTCCAGGACTTTTTAAACAACGCGGCTTCTAGTGGCGCCATCTGTCTGAAATTGTTATCCCTCAATTGTGTATTCTTCAGTGTTTTCGTATAAAATTAATATAATAGCTGACTTGTATAACAGCTGAGATATCGCGCTACATGTGACATTACATTTGTAGTGTCGGTCGGAAAATGAGCATCGAAAAAAAAAAACTAACATTAAGTTTTGTTTTAAACTTGGTAAAACTTTTACCAAAACTAATTAAATGATGAAACAAGTTTATGGCGATGATTGTCAATCCCGTAGCCGTATTCACGAGTGGTTTAAACGTTTTCAAAGTGATCGTGATGACATAAATGAGAAATGAGCCGAAACCCAAAAAATCGCACCTGGAGAAGTCAAAAGTGAAGACAATGCTGATTTGTTTTTATGATTCCAAGGGTATTGTCCACAAAGTATTTAATGCGGTATTCTACCTTGGAGTTTTGAAGCGTTTGGTAGCACGTATTCGTCGCATTCGGCCCGAATATCGCGAAGATGGAAGTTAGCGTTTGTTGCACGATAATGCGCCGTCTCATCGATCTACGCATGTGGCCGATTATTTGACCAAAAATCAAATTTTAACAATCAACCACTCCCCGTATTCACCTGATATGGCACCGTGCGACTTCTACCCTTTCGTAAAACTACATTTGGCCATGAAAGGAAACCGCTATGCTGACGTTGATGCCATCCAAAAGGCGACGACCGCCATCCTCAACGCTATACCGACAAATGACCTAAAAAAGTCATTCGATAACCTTCTTGAACGTGCAAAACGTTGTATTCAGGCGGAAGGAGACTATTTTGAAGGCGACCAATAAATTTTTCAAAAAAAAACAAATAATATTCGTTTTTTAATAAAAGTCCTGAAACTTTTGAATTGCACCTTGTACATATAGTCATCAGCATGAGACTTGATTCGATTTAGCCATTTCCATCTGTCTGTCTGTATATACTCGAACGAGTGCCTGAGTTTTTGAGATATTTTCTGAAATTTTGCACACGTCCTTTTCTCCTCAAGAAACTGCTTGGAATCATTATAGCATATAGCTGCCATATTACCTGGTCGATCAAAATCAAGTTCTTATATAGTATCTACATACTTTTTAAATCCTCAGTTCAAGGCAATGGAATAATTGTACCTAGAGAAATATTTGCTATAGCCTTTTTTGAAAGAAGTTTCAAGCTCGAAGCAGTATCTTTGGGTTTAATTGAATGACAATCACCGCAACTCTTGCCACTCTTTTATCAAATTATCCAATGCCAATATATTATATCAAATACATACACATATGAATATCAAGCAAGTACTAGTAACAATTTACCCCGACCTAAGGTAATATGTTAGGCTTACGAATAACTCGTTTATTTTATACCTTTTTAATGATTTGTTTTACTTTGTTATCTCTTTTATCTTATTTTTCGCACTATAACTTCAGTAAACTGTGTCATCGCCAATTTACGTAAGTATTAAGGCGGATGGAGCCATTAACCAAAAACTGAGGACAACATCAGGAAGTAATTTTACACAAATACACACATAGTCACATAAAATTACGCGCAAATTGTTCCATTTAACGCTCTGCTGAAGGCCTGCTCGCTTGATTAGCAACGTTCCATACTCGTTTCAGTAGCACGTGTTGTTGGTGGTGGAGCCATAAAAAAATTCAAAATCAAAATAACAACAAACTAGCTAGCCGGCTTCTTCATCTTCATTGAAAATAAAGTCAGCTGTCAGCGTTGTAGACTGACGGCAGCAACTCAGTTGCCAGACAGACGAACTTTTGTTCGCGAACTTGCTGACCATTGTATATTCATAGGTACATGCATACCAACATTTATAAGCGACGAGCGGTTGGAGATGCCCAAACTAGTGTTTATGTTTTTGTTGTTTTTGTGTTGGCTTCTATCCAACATAATGCTCGACTAGAAGGCAGGCACGCTTACCCATATACATATTTATCATACTTTTGAATGCATGTGTATGTATGATCTCGCCTTTGGGCGAGCTCTAGTACATAACGACTTCGCTCCGATAAGACATGGCTATGACTCTTATCTAGCTTTGCTTTTGTTATACTGTTTAAAAGTGGAATAACCTTGTTGGTCTGTTTATGTCTCTTTTTCGACTGTCCAGTCAACCAGTTCAGTGACTAAAAAAGCTTATTAAATGACATAATGTTGTAATGTGGTTGTTGTTCTGTTGTTGTGCTGTGCATCATGTTGGTTGCATTCATTGATTTTCTGTGGGGTGGCAACAAATAAGGTTTACATACACACATATCTTTCAAATATTTATTAAAAATTGCATACTTATGTATATTAAAGCATACTACATATATCAAATTAATATTTTCATATTCAATAGATATATTATACAATAAATAAAAAATGATGGAACCCAGGCGCAGCATTATACTCTGTACGTATAAGCACTGGTAAGAGCTAATTAATTAGTGTCTTGATTATATATTTATATAGTATATGCATATATAATATGTATATTCAAATCGTTGTCGTCATGAATCCGTCCGCTTTTCAAGGCAATAACGGTGACATCACATTTTTGTTGTAGTATCACCATAAAATATTTTCCCAAACTAGTTTTTGAGTATAAGCATTTCATTTTGACTCAAATCTAAAACTACTCTCTAAATCTTCATATCAGATTTCATTAAACTTTAGTCATTCTTAAGTTGTTTGTTGCCTTCAAAATCAAGATAATCTACATAATCCCCGAAATTGTGTTTGATCTAGGCGGTAGAGTCTTTGAAATTTCGATCGAAGTATCTAAATATTTGTGAACTATTTGTTCTCTATTTCATGATTTGCTTTTTTTCAACTAGACCAAAAAAAGTATCGTTACCAATAAGGAGTCGGTCAATCTAGTTGCGTTTACTCTTAAATTAATTAATAAATAATATAAAATATATATATTAAAAAAGATTAATTGTTTTTACGTTCTCGTTATTTAGTTCAATTGGATTTTGATACTGTTTCAAAACGTTGCAGTTTAAAAAAATCTTGGTTATATTATAAATGCTTCGATTTGCCAAATCATTTCTAAATACTTGTACTTTATATCTTCTTCTGCAACTGGTTTAATATACAGTATATAGTTGTTTTATTTTTTAAATTTAAATTTAAAAGCTAATTTTATTTCATTATTTTGTATTTAATGAAATATCGATGGATCCAGACTCGGTATCATTGCGGGCATGGTATTATACTGCGACCGAGAAAAAGAAATATACTTGTATAAGCAATTAAACACAACGTTTTCATTCCGCAGTAGAGAAGAATGCACCAATGGTTCTGTGACCAACAATTCCAACGTCAAAATCTACATATTCACCGACGGATCAAAGGGCGAAATAAGAACAGGAGCGGACTTCTTCTGTGGTAATCCATTCAAAGAAGGTAGATTCAAACTAAATTTCCGGCCAAAATTGTTGACGTAACAGCAGGTGTCAAGTGGGATTCTTTTCTAACCAGCAGGTCCATAAACCTTTTAGTGAACAGCCAGGCAGCAATTAAGGCACTATCTTAGCGCCTATACTCACTGCGGTAACTCGTTTAATAATCAGTCATATAGAAACAGAAGAAAATGAAAAAGCTGATGAGTAGGCCCACTCGGGGGCAACCAGAAGCACAATTCCCCTAATCTGCTCTAAACAATTCAGCTCTTTCAAGAGTTATTTGAAACAATGGACCCTAGGGCAAAAGCAAAGTAGCAAAGCTACTATCTAGCTACTACCTAGCAAAGTTATTTTAGGGTAGTGTTGATGGTGGATAAACCAAAAAACTTCTCCTTCTAGGCAAAAGAAACTTTGTAATATTGTAAGAGTCATCACAGAGCACATATAACTAAGATCCCACCTTCAAAAAATTAGTAAAGTGGACTCGGCGGAATACAGAGCATGTGCGGAGGATGATGCAACGCTGGAACAATATCTTTGCGTATGCCCAGTCTTCAGCTCGCCCAGACGGGATATCTTCTACGGCTCTCAATTTTCCAACTTAAGAGACGTTAGGCAGCGGGGATACAAAGAATCAGGTTTTTCACCTAAATTCACTGAGTTGCTGAATAAAGCTTAATTTAGTTATCACCCGGGAGCACAATGTGTCTAATGATGGCCTAAAAACGGTCGCTTGCGGTCTGGCGCTTCTGCGATTCCGTTTTCAACCAATCAGCTGCCTTCGATTTGTCAAACAATTTTCTTAATTATTTCCTTTATTACCTCTTTTTTATGTGATTTAACCCTTTTTTTAGACAACTTACTCATTACTCTTCCATAAGCGATTTAATGCCAAGGCCATCATGACCTTTTACCAAAATGGTCGTAAATTAGTTGGACGAAAATTACATACCAATCTGAATAATAATCATTACACATCCAGTAAAGGCAATCAAATGGCATCGCAATACTGTTTTTTTGCACAGTCGGGAAAATTACAAGCAATTTGCATGCGAAGACGAATATAGATAAAACATAAATATTGACTGAAATGAAATATGCAGAGATGTCGAGTTCGAGCAGAAGGGTTGCGCTGCAATACATGAGAATGCAATAAAAATAAGCATGGATAATGAAACAAAATAATCGTTTGGTAAATTGCCAACTATAAAGTCCCTATAAGTCGAGACTAACCATATTTGTTACGAGTGAGCAATGGAATACAAAATTGACAAATTTTTTCTTTAAATGAAGGTCATTAAACAAATCTAATGCAATATTTTTCATGGTATATTTTTAGGAGAGAAAAAACCTTTTTTTTCGCTTTTCCATTGGAGAAAGTCATTAGAATTATATTCTGATTGATTTCAACTTCGTGAGTATTTGATTATATCATTATCAGAAAAAATAATTTCTAAATGATTACCTGCCATGCACATATACTAAGTGTAAGCGTTTCGAACCACGAATATCAGTTAGAAGTGGTCTTTAATATAACTATAGATTCTTATTTGACTTTTGGACTCATAATATATGTACAGCATCTTTTCACTAAATACTTTTGTGTACTCCTGATATGTTTTGGAGCAGGAGAAATACATTACACGAGGCAACTAAATTCGCTAACTTTGCTCGATAAACTACAATTTATTGGTCATATTAGTGTTCAGCATTAAACCTTACTCACAAACTCACGAAATGATATGGAAATACCTACCTGTGTTGTAATGCAATTTGTAACAAATACTTTTTTTTTCCTAGCAAGGTAATATAAAGGTCCTCTCCAAAGTGTAAACGTCCTTAATTCGCTAAGTACCAAAACAAAAAGGACCAAGTATTTTTTAGGTTATGTTCTTCATTAATTTTCTGGTTTGGTTGTGGTTTTACTGTTCGCTGTCCAAATGCACTTGGAAAGCAAAAACAAAATTAATAATACATAAACAGAATAGAAATATATAGAAAATGTTTGATTGAAAATTGATTTTTTTTGTTTTGAGGCTAAGTTCTCGGAAAATATTTATCGTTTTGCTGTTCTTTTGCAATATGAACTAGCAGGGTAGAATTTGAAGAAATGTAATATATAACAATAGGTTTAAGGGGTAAGAAGTAACCACTTTTAAACAGAATTTTCAAACAAAAAAATCATAACTCCAACTTCTTATGTATTTGCTACAATTTTTTGAATTTCCAATCAAATTCATTATGTTACATAGTACACAATCACTTCAACAGTTCGTTTTATTGTTTGACTGCACTTGTAATGTATGTAAATTACGAAACTTATCACTTGTAGACATTCGAAAAATATGCAACAACAACAAAAAAACGCAAAGTAACTTACGCAAATCTTTGGCAACAACTGTATTAGCCAATTGCACAGCGAGTTGTACAATCAGCAACAGCCAAACTGACGGCAGCAATGTTAACTTGAAGCCAAAGTCACTATGTAACTTGTTGCGCATGCGTGCCGACATTTTTACTACTCTTAATTTATTTCACTTTTCTTTAGGTTTTATTATGCGTTATTCTGTTATTCACACGAAAGTATTACGTTTTAAATTACAATTGTATTGCATGAAAATTATTACTATTATCGCAAATATTTAATTTAATTTTTTTTTCGTATTCAATTTTGATTACTACTCTTTAACACTCGCAGTTAATTAAAAGTTATTTCGTAATCTTTTTTTGTAATAAATTTTGACGTCAACGCCACTGTTCTGTCGTCAGCGAGTTATCAACACAAATTGAACGGGATGCTAGGCGCATGCGCGGCTTTTATAGTAAGCTTCAGCTTTGCTGACAAACTAACTAGTCGCCGATATAACAGCAAGCAGCCCATCCGTCAGCTTCATAATTCCACTACGTATTCGCTATATCTTCATACACATGCAAACAGTTGTATGTACATACACACGAAGGCTTGCAGAGTGGGCTTTTTGAGACGCCGATTGCATGCACTTATATACACATATAGCGTATTTACACTGGTCGCTTTGAACCGCTTGTACTACGAAACTATAATTTATATTAAAAAAATATATGCTTACGCCCATCAAAATTTTTTACATTTCATTGAGCGAATATTTAGTCGCTTACCACATTCTTCTCTTCGGTATCAAAATTTAGCGAGAATTTGGCAATACATGCGCGAAAGGTGATGCCTACTAATAAAAGCGGCTTCAAATTCGAAAATAAAAAGAAATGACCAACACTTTTTCCCGAGCGCTCACCTTGAATACAGACAAGTTCAAATGCGTACGGTACCTTATAACCCTTCGATCAACTGCAAACCACTACAAAAACCACTCGACACGTAAGGCTATTTTTACCAACTCACAGTGCTACCATAACCGTTTTTCTTTCAATTTTAGTATAAATGAGTATAATAATATAGACAGCCAATACCAACATCATAGTATTTTTCCGTTACACTCACAAAATCATTCATAGCCTTATCGCATTATCTTAGACTCTAAATTTAGAGAATAGCTTTTGAGCATAGCTCATATCGAAAGCTATTACAAGCCACTGAGCTTTAGCCTATATCTTAATAACACTTCGATAAAAAATTTCGTTGCTCTACATAAACTTGTGTCAAAGTTGAGCTGCCAGTCTTACTCTTATAAATGCAGCCTGTTCCACTTCTGGCACCACTCAACTGCTACCGCTAGATATCTTCAATTACTCTTCAACTACACTAAAAATATTAATTAGACTTTGCTTACAACTTGGCAGCTCCGATTAATAATATTGGCTCACTCATATAGGCTTGAAACTGCCACACAACGGCTGGATTAATTTGTACAACGTTTTTCTTAGATGTGAATTTTGAAAATTAATTAAAGAAATTGAAATATTCGGAGAACGTGTCTAATATAATAATACATTTGACGTCTGATTTCGGTTTATGTCAGATACTTCAAGACCTATTATATGTCGCATCCTTAGTGAAACTGTGCCCTGATACACTAACACTAACACCTTGAGACAGCTGGTTATTATAATTGTCTAATATTTTTTTCCCCTTAGGATTTACAAATAAAAACCAAAGAATTTTATGACCTGAGTTCGCACAATTGACTCTTTTCTTAGGCTGACATGATAGTACTCGACAACGCATATCCGGAGTATTCCTGTCTTAAAAATTGTTCTCATAAAACTCGTCAGCCTTTGGACCCTCTTTGAACTTACAGGTATCCAGCAAAGGTGTAAGCTCGCACTAAACCGCCTTTGAAACCCTTTCGAAAAATATGGATAGATACATCTTCGTATATAAATATATATGTAGCTATATTTTCCTGGAATCGTGTTCGGCCATTCTATACATACATATATATACCATCAACGATCAGAGCTTTGTGTGTCATTAAAAGTAATGACCTGCGATGTACTTTTACTACAGTTTCTTTGTGATTTTTAACTTCCCTAAAGGCATAAAGAATATTAAAGAAACTTTACGCGCATACATATACACATACGTTTCTACATACATATAGGTGTATACATAGATATATACAATAGCTATTCACGTCATAGCACGTTTTTCCGTAGTCATCACTACCCATCAAGCAAATAAATAAATTTTTTTTTTGCATATTTACTCATATCCTATAAATTTGCATTTACTCTCATACGTTACTTGTACTTGTTGTAGTCGCTTCATTCCAATTACTCGCATTACATTACCGTACGCCATAAATAATTGCCAATCATATGACATGGCAAAGCATATAGCCGAAGGTACAAGTAATCTGTCAACCAATTTATTGTCATCTTCATTTGCCCTTCTGTTTCAAGTATGTTCTTATTTAATTACTGTTCATTAACCTTTCAACTGGTGATTGTTGTTCAATATTGTTGGCGCCACATTCTCATTCTCGCTCTCTCCGTAGTGCACTTGACCTTATTCGAATGGAATACCGTACCGTCCTTCGGTTTTAACCTTGATACTGTTTGTGATTCTTGCCAACAACTTTTACTGATTTATGTATTCAGGTATGATGCTTTTATTTTCAAAATGCTACTTTTTTGTTTAACGTGGATACGAACAGGTTAAAAGTTGATGATTTTTAATGACATCAATTCTAATTTTCCTGTTAAAGTTCGGTCTAGGTAGAACATTTTTTAGAATTGTATAAGTTCTTTTTATATTTTTTATTTTTTAAATTTTCATTTCGAATATGGGCCAAATTGGACCGTAAATGTGATTTTTCATAATAGTTTAACGCCAACGCCATCTAGCGAGTTTTAACTTCACATCAAGATCGATTCAGCAATTTTATAATTTATGAGAAACACATACACATCCTTGCAAACCAACTAGCGGTTAAATCAATCGTTAATTAAACGAGCTCGCAACGCAGAGATTGCTGTTAAAGTTTCTATGAGTTTCTTAAGGGCGAATTGACAAATCTAACCAAAACTTTTGTGTACAACTTTATTATGCATAGGGCTTATGCATTGCACAGTGTTTATGTGTTAGTTTCCATGTTAATTACTTTAATTGATTGGAGTTTCAGTAGTCGTGACTTGCTGTGCATAGATCTATTCTTATCCTAAGCACTCGGGGTTCTGGTAAATATTTATCTGAAATGCTGCTCCTTTTTGTTCAAAGGGTTCTCATATATATTATTCGGTTGAATAAACCATAGTGCTCATAGGAAAAAGGTTTTTTTTTCGAAAAAAACGTTTGAATAAAATGTAAGATTCTAAAAAAATCGTCGTTGCGTTGCGACCTTTTTAACAAAAATACTATACAAAACCTTTAGCTTAATCTCACTTTTAAAACTAACCTAAATTAAAAAACATGTGTTGGTAGTTCTAAAGTTGAGTCATAATATTTATTAATATGTAATTTTTTAGTACAATAGCTAGCATAATTATGGGACTTACAATTTTGATTGAAATTTTTATTTTTGTTCTTAAACCTTATATACATATAGTATGTACAAATTTGTAAATATATGTGTATGTATATTTTATTTGTAAATTTGTAAGTAATCTCTTGTAAAAGTTATTCCTATAGTCAAAAGTTGTTAAATTTTTACTTACATAATACTGTTTCATACTGTGAGTCTTCGCTTAGTAGGTCTCTTGATATCGCAATGCACAACTATTTTCCAATGGGCGATACAACTTACGACCAGGTCTCTCGCGTTTCAACTCCTCTGCTTCCAAACGTAGTTGTAACAATCTTTGACGCACCGCATATGGAGTAATTGCAGTATGATGTGGTTTCTTCGCGCTCTGCTTAACCACCACGCTTTTTATGCCATTTGTGCCAGAGCTCTCCGTCTTAACCCGCATCGGCGATAAAGTCTTCCGTTGTAATTTACATACCATTTGCTCCATTTCATCGGGTGTCAACGTTTTTTTACCTATCGGCAAATGCAAATCTAACTGTCGATGTACACTGAAGCAGTCTTCAGCATTTTGTAAACGAAATTCTTGTAATTGGCGCAAGCGTTTTGCCTCCACTTCCGCGTCGCGCACACAAGCGGCGGCAGTAATACCGTCCCCACCGCTGCCGCTGATAAGATTCAGCGTGGTATACCTGTCACCCTGTGCGGATATTAACTTCATTAACTGCTTTGCGCTCTCATAGTAGCGTCGTTGCTCGGTGTACTCGTGCGGCAGCGCGTCGCCGCAATCGCTGCCGCGGTCACGTTTTGACGAAACGCTCAGCGCGCTGAAGTTATCGCCTAACGCTGACATACTTACAGGCAAATTCTTTAAAATTGTGGTTGTGGATGCGGTTGATGGGGGCGGCGACGGCGTTTTGATCGAGGTCGTGGTTCCGTTCGAACTTTGAATTGATGCTGGCGTAGCACAAGGCGTGGAAAATGTTACTGTGGTTGCGGCGGAATTACGTCGACTAAAATTAGTGACGCTATGCAAATTAGAATGGCCAAGCCCCTGATCCCAACATGGGACAGTTGGTTTTGTTTTTACTTTAACAAAGTCTGTCTTTTGTTTATTCTTCTCCGCTGTTCTTATATTAGAAATTTGTTTATCGCGTTTGCTTGCAACACTGAAAATACTTCCGCTACCAGTATTGCGCTTGAAGCAATTTACATGGGTATTGCTGCAACATGTCGACGCAACACTGTTGCAATAACATTTACTATCGTATTGCGCGCGTTTTAATGGCATTTTTTTCAAACAAGTTAAAAGCAGCCAATCTTTAATAAAAAAAAAATGCGTCTTAGTTAGCGCAAAAACGCTTCTTTGTTAATTTTCAACAAACCGGTTATAATATCCGTTGTTATGTTTATTTCTCACACTTACCAGCTGTGCATATGTGCTTAAGGTGGTTGTTTTTGTTGTTATGGCTGACCGACCCTTCGTTTTGTTTACAAAACAAGTGACAACTAATTTCATTGTCATGGTTGCCATATTGTTTTGATATCGTTAAAACTGTCACAACAGTCCATCTATAGACGGCGCGCTTGATATAATATAAAGATTTCATTTTTTTTCTCGCTTAAAACAAAAGACTTAAGCCGCATACTTGATCAACTTTAGAAGAGAAGGTAGGTGGGAGTGCTACCTCTTCGGCCTCAATTAGCGATGGATGCGCAAGTATGATGCTTTACAAGACAACCATTCAAGTTTTGGTGCTTGATGTGTTCCAAATATTCTAGTGTCTAGTTTAGGGCAGGGCATTCAAAGATAAAGTGGAAAACCGTTTTCTTATTCCCTTCTAGTGTTCCCCAAACGGATAATGCCCCATTATAGTAGCTGTAAGTCTGAGAATACTATTCCTGGACGTATGTAATATCGGTATGGTACCGATTCCTCCTTTCTTAGCTTTTGGCTGGCGTAGTCGACCTCTTCCGTGTCGTCTTCGTCAGCCGTTTTGTCGTCCTGGACGTTCTGCTGATTTTATTATCAGCCTTCCATAGAGCCCCTATCGACTCTTCGCAGATGACCACTAGTATTGGGCTTCCTTCTTCTCTTCCTTTATCAGCTGCCAGTCATCTATACCAGATCAATGACCCATTTAGCTAAGTTCACAACCTTTGTTTACATTTAACCAAGTCAACAACCTTACTTTATGTTTTGGGTCAATGACGCTTTTGTTTATATTTTATGGGCTCAATAACCCCTTTGTTTACATTATGAGGACAATAACCTTTTTGTTTACATTTTGGCAAGGTCAAGACGCCTTTGTTTACATTATTTGAGGTCAATGACCCTTTTGTTTACATTTAGCCAAGTCCACAACCTTTGTTTACATTTAGCAGAGACAACAACCTTCCTTTATATTTTGGGTCAATGACGCTTTTGTTTATATTTTATGGGCTCAATTACCTGTTTGTTTACATTATGAGGTCAATGACCTTTTTGTTTTCATTTCGCCGAGGACAATTAACCCCTTTGTTTACATTTTATGTGGTCCTTGACTCTTTTGTTTACATTTAGCCAAGTCCACAACCATTGTTTACATTTAGCCAAGTTAACAGCGTTTGTTTACATTATGAGGTCAATGACCCCTTTGTAAATTGTTGTAAACGAACTACAAACTGACCAATCAAAAACAATTCCCTCTATAGAAAGATTTTTCATTTTACAAGATATTCGAACGAATTGTTTAGACCGTTGGATATAGCCGTCGTTCAAACTGACCAATCATGTTAGCTTAGCCCGTTTATTTTTATGGTAATTTGATTTTTAATATATACATATGTGTGTTTTTATATTTATACACAGAGTAGGGTATATTAAGTTTGCCACGTGGTTTGTAGTACCCAGAAGAAAACGTCTGAGACCCCATAAAACATATTGTATATATATAAAAAATTTGGTTCCACCGAAGTCCTTCACAAATACAAAATATACCTTGCAGGAAATTGATTTTAATAGGTTAGTTTGTACAGCAGCTATATGCTATATGCGAGATTTCGAGAAGATATCTTGTCAAATACAAAAGTTTTCTATACAAGCACTTGATTCCGATCGTTCAGTTTGTTAGGCACCTGTATGCTATAGTGGTCTGATATCGGCGGTTCCGACAAATGAGGAGCTTCTTGAGTTTCAGATCGATATCTCAAAAACTGAGGGACTAGTTTGCGTATATACAGACAGACAGAGCTAAATCGACTCAGCTCTAAATTTAATATATTATTTTTATGTGAAAAACGCCTACAAGAGGATCGGTATTCATTATATTATGGTATGAGGTTTAGACCAAGGTTTAGGTCAACTCCATTCATATTTATCGTTCAACCACATTACCTTTATGAAATCTTGTCCACCTACTGACAGGGTATATTGGGAGCAGAGAAATGTCTGGGCTTGTTGCATTACCATTGACATTGCTCAGGTATACTCGAGAACATATTTTCAAAAATTTATAAATATACCATATAACTCACATACTAGCCGTTCCGCACCATATAACTCCCATACACACATTCGCCGTTATATGCGGTATAAATTCAGCCGGAAGTTCGAAAATATTTCTATTAGGTATATGAGGGCTAAGGGAAGTATTGATCCGAGTCAACCCAATTTGGGCACACAGACATATTATTATTAGAAAAGCGTTCTCTGTGAATTTTAATTATATTATATATCATACACATTAATCGATATATACTTGTATGGTAAAAAGCTATCTATAGACACTGGGGTGCACATCTATATTTCTTAAGATATTTGATCAAATTACTCGATCTCTATTACTCTATATAATAGTGATACAAGGCATATATCTCATGTTAGTTAATTTGTTGGCGGCTATGCAGGCTATTTTGCGCTCCGCCCTTTCATATATAAGGGCATACGTAATCGTAACAGGTAATGCAAATATTCAATGTCGTAAAATCCTTTTATATTTTGCACAGCATTGAGTAACTATTTCTGAAAATCGATGCTTAACTATCTAATTTTTTTAATTAATACAACTTTATAAATGTTCGTATTTTTTTTATTATATTTTTCATTTGTTCTCAAATTAAACAGTGCTATTGTTACAGGTGTAGCTTAATAATAAATATTAAATAGTTATTCTCTTAGTAATAACAATTACATACAATTTTTTTTATATACCCTCTTTAATTTTTTTTTTACTTTTTTACATTTTTATATTTTTGATTTAAATTTGTGAATTTTTCCCCTTTGTAAACCCGCTGAAATATATATATGTGGTTGAACATCGTATTTTATTTGTTTATTTTTTTGCTTTTAATAAATTACAAGAGAATATTTATTAATATTCATTATTATACATATGTATGTTTGTATGTATGCATATACAATTACCATATATAAACAATGTGTCACAAAACGCGTTTAAGTTTTATTCGCTTTATTTTTACTGAAACATGCAAATGCTGATCTTCGTTTGTAGTTTAATATTTATTATGTTTTTTTTTTGTTTTGATTGTATATTATTATTTTGAGTTTTTAATAGTACTGCTTGTAAATAGTCAATGCTGCGTTTATATTTTTATTGCTTTTTGCTTATTTGCAAATTTTCTTAGCAGTGCACTATTTTTCATACAGCATTACAAATATAGTTAAGTGTAGAAAAATACAACAACAGACAAAAAATTTAAAATTAAAAAGAAAAGCTGCAAAGCTCGAAAAGGCAACAAAATTGATGGGAAGGGATGTTACGAGCTTTTGACCCTGAAAATGGAATATTGAGATATTATAGCAGTACATTTTTTTTAGTAGTAAAATCATTAGTTTGAATATAATATGTCAATTAGCTTTTGGTCACAAAACAAGTGTAAGCATCTCTTTGCAAACATGCTATAAATAACAATAAACATTTTTTTATATTTTTATATAGTGAAAGCTTAACAATTTGGGCTCTGAGTATTGAAAGCTTCTTCAGCGCTGTATGCATATTTCATTTCAAGTATATGAATTGAAATTAATTTAACACTCGTTGAATGTTAAAAAAATTTTTTGCAAAGCTTTCAACTTTACGAAGCTTTCACTATCTCTACTTACATTTTACCAAATATACGTAGGAAGAGCTTTCGCACTCGCTTTTTTATTTACCGCTAAAAACACTAAAATCTTGAAACATTTCACCAAAGCGCATTCAACTTTTCAGCCTTCAACTAATAGTGGCAAAAAATGTTTACAGGTTAATTTCTTGTATGTAAACGTAAGTGGGTTTTTGAACTAGTATGAGCCGAATCCAACATTTTTTTTTTCAAAACTCCAAAAGCTTTTTTTCTCTCTTCAACTATTGCATCTACAATACATACATCAACTTTTGAGCATTTCTCATTTGAGCAAAAAGTTTGCATTTTCTCTATATTTTCTCTGCTCTCTTCATAAATTTCATATTTTTTGTATCTCAAATTTATAATTAAATCAGTTGAAAAGGTTTTAATATAATTTTAAATTGCAATAATACACAGAAAATTAACTACAAATGAAAAAGTATTATTCAATTATGAGACCACAAAAAAATTCTCATTTAATTTTGTTTGCATATTTTTGTTGTTGCGCATTATTTTTGATTGTTACCAATAGATCATATTTGTATTATATTCACTGAAAAATTGCATTGTTCTTTTTATGTTTAAATATTATATTTGGAGTCACTAGAAACCTTTTTCTCATTGATGAAGCTCTGTATTTTATAACTATGCGTAAATTTAACAAATTGCTTTCATCTTTAATAGATATTCCGGATTTCGCACACCTTACATATGCATTGAGCGGAGTTTACAAAACAAAATTATGTAACATATCGGCGCCAACTTTAAAAAAAAAATTTTTTGTTTTCAAAATTTCCTCGAAACAGGCGCTCAATTGCATTGTTCACCGCAGACAAACATAAATATGTAATTTGTAAATTTTACATTGCCTCCTTTTAGGAGCCAGCTAAAAATCAAAAACACTGTTTTCTGATTAAAATAGTTTCTAAAATATTTATTTTACTTTAAAAATTTTTATAACGTTCTGCCAAGATATATGTATTTAGCATTAAGTTTTAACAACTGACAACGGTATATTTGTATATTTTCAACCAATTTTAACATTAATGTATTTTTTCATTAAAATATGCACATACAAATGTATGAGTATTAGTAGCTAAATAATTTTGACTCACGCTTTCAATAATTTATTCTCAAATTTAAAACAAATCGAAGAATTTTTGATTTGGAAATACCGCTTTTAAATGTTATTGAATAATTATATAATATAATTTCTAAAAAAAAATGGTTTTAAGTCAAGGTCTGATGTTTACGTATTTGCTCAGATAACAAAGGTGAACTAGCTACACCAAACTATTGCAAAATATACTCAATATGTATATAAATAATATAGATTTAGAAATATTTCAAAATTTTTCCAAGAATTAGCCCAACAACCATATACATTTCATCTCAGTCATGTAATTTTCAAAATATCGTTAAATCGCGGATTTACATCAAGGACGTTTCAAAAAATGTCTGTAAACTTGAAAATTCAGTGGCTGAGTTATACCAACGGTATACCAAATTAATTGTAATTAAAATTTCTACTTTTTACAAATACATATGTATTCGTTTAATTTGCACTATTCGTATTATTTATAAATGAATAAAATAAGTTTTTACGATAATTATGGTAGATTTTTCGATTTATAACACCAGAAATATATGAAAAAATAATTTATAGCTTATAATTTTTTTTTTGCCCATTGCTTAAAACCAATTTATTTACAAAACTTCTAAGAGACAAATGGGTAGCAAATGATAGTAATCCGTTAAAATATATGAATATTATTTTCAAGAATATGGCTTTATTATTTCAAAGGAAGTTCTGCTAAACATTTATCTACGGCCAAACAACGTTATTTGCGATATCTGGAAAATTACATGCTAATAAAAAAAAAAGTTTCACAGCATTTATAACCAATGTTTGGAAAACAATTTTTTACCGGCAAGTTTTCGGGTGGCATCATTTGGCCACCGACGCATGTCAATATATCAAAATACAAACTAATACACTATGTTTTAGTTGTATATAAAGAGGAAAATATTTTATTTTGGAGTACGTAGAAGAGTTTATGCATGTACTTATACACACTTATGCAATCAAGCTAGCTGCTAACAATATATTTGTGTCTATATATAGTAATGCTTTATTTTTGTCGTTACTTTCTTGTATTGAGTTGGTTGTACAAATTGAATTTTTGTTAGCTTGTCTTATTTTTGCAAATACTGCATAGCTTTTTTTTCATTATAATTACATACATATTTTTCTTATTGCTAATATTTGTTGTTGTTATTTTACAAATTTTTTATCAAATATAGTGCGCATAGATTCGTTTTTCGAGTTTGTTTTGCTCTGCGTTTTGCTTTTTTAATTATTTTATTCCACTATAAATTTGCTTTTGTTTTTTGACAAAGTTGTTTTGCTTGCTACTTAAAAGTATTTTCATTTGTTGTTGTTGTTATTATTATTATTATTTTTGTTTTGGTGTAAGTCAATGCAAGTGAAGTGTGTGTATGTGCGTGTGGGTATGTGTGTAAAAACTGTTAACAACAATAAATTAATGTGGCATGCAACTTATTGTATAAATAGGAAAACATTGAATTAACAAATTTTTGGTAGAAGCAAGAAATCATAACGCATACATACATACATATACATATGTAGGATGTATTTTCATTGATATCGATTATTGAAAATAGTAAATATATAACCAAAGCACATATAGATTATGTTCAGTATAAAATTGAGTTATATAATAACGAAAAAAATTGCAACCAGCTTTAGCGCAGGCTTCCAGCAATCAAATATAACACAACAAATATGGAATTTGAAGCTTTTAAATATATTTTTAATTAATCGTGAACTTCAATTTGTTCAATTAAGTGTGTAAACTTGTATTAATTTAATCAATTTCCACGCGAAATATCGCCAAATCGAATTATTAGGGCTGTTCGGTTACCTTTTCAGCAATAATTGTCAAACATATTCTCATAGGAAAGAAGTTGAAGCTTTTTAAGCGTGCAATTAAAATCTGATTGTCGACAGTCAAAGCATGTTACATGAAAGAATTATACAATTTATACAAAAACAATAACAATATATAGTTTTTGAAATTTCCTTGTTTTGCTACTTTTTTTTGAAAATTGTTTTTTTTTTTTATTTTAGAATAGTAAGGTTTTAATGTTTCATTTTTTGCTTATTCTCAAATTTACTTATATTTCAATTTTATGCATACAAACAAGAAAATAGTGGTGAGCTTATAATAATTGCAAACTACAACCTAATTGAACAAACCGTTTATGGCCAGAAGTGGTAATAAAATTTATTTTTTCAAACCATAAATCATTTCGATTTTGAACTGAGTGTCATAATATATCATAATTTTATTTCCCATCATAAGCAATACGTATAATTTATAAGTTGTAAATAATTATATATTATATAAACAAACAAGTATTTGAAAGCTTTTAATGTAGAGATATACACGTTTGCCATATTGCGAAACAGTTACTTTTGAAAAAAAAAAATTTAACTTTAATGCTTCAGGAAACTCTGTAACATACATATTTACAAATTATATGTGCTAAGGTATAATTATATATCTAGTTTTTGTGAAAATAATTCCGAACTAGGATAAAAATATTTCACACTACATATACTATGTTGTTGTTTGTGCTTAATGTCTAATATATATGCATATATTCGAAATTACACATTTAGCTTGTACTAAATAAACCCCATTAGATATAAAAAATAACTGTACGCAACACTATGTTTAAAACCGTCGCTTGTTTTATAGAAGTACAAACAAAATTGTTTTAATTTTCGACTTAAAAATTATGATGTTTTCAAAAAATAATTGTGTTGAACGCACGTTTTTTAGTATAGTGCTGCGAAAATAACATGCATTTGCATAAAAAATAAAACCTTTATATATATAGAAATTGTAAAATAAAAAAGGTTGCAAAGAGCTACTTAAAAAATAGTGCAAAAATGTCGGTACTGTCAACAAAAAGTTTTGAATTTTTTTCAATGTTGTGTGTGCTTTGTTGATTGTTAAATTGTATAGGCTTACACAAGTACACATTAAGTGAGTTGGTGTGGCAGCTGCGTATTTCACAGCTTTTTCGTCTTTGTCTTTCTTAATTTTATTTGCACTATTTGTAAGGTTTTGTTATTGCAGTGCCTTTTATGTTTTTGCTTTACATCGCTTTATTTCGATGTTTTCGTTTTCTGCATCATTTAACAATTTTTTTGCATTACGCCTTTATCGTGCCACTTTTTGAATTTGTATAATTATTTTCTTTTTAATTCTGCTAAGTTTGCACATTGATTTATTTCTTTTTATTTTTATTGTTGGCACCGCGTGGCGGAGTTAACGGACGCGCTGAACTGCCGAAATTCGGATAGACGAAGCGGCGCTTATCAGCCGGCTTCAGTATTTGGAAAGAACACATAAGTGTATCATCCACAGACATCATTGCACCTGGGCGGATGAAAATAGAAGGAAAAAAACAAATGAACCAAATTCAATTTCTAAATAAGAAACTCTTAAGATATAATAATTGTTATTTTATCATTGAAGGATTGCATTGACTCACAAAGTTTTGGAAAATTGTTAGTTTTGTTACAAGTTGATTATAAAAGCATTAGCAGGATGTGTACAAGGCATTTGTACTACAACTCGGTTAAAGATTAGCAGATTCTCACACTTCCAAAATACAATTCTTCCATTATTTTTTTCTTTTTCTTTTATTTACATGCAAACGATTTTATATGCATTTCATGAATAAATCAAGTTTTGGCGTGTGTATCGCATATGTACCTACCTGCATTGTCAAATTCACCACAATAATTTGGTGCCGAAAAGAGTGTGACCAATTGTCTTTTAGCAAAGAACTCATAACCATCCTCGACAACCTGATGCGCACGACATATCAAATCGAAGTCGTGTTTTTGTAAAAATTTCCCAACAACCTGTAATAGTTTGGAATTGTTTAAACGTGTATTTTTAGAAACTAATGCGAGCTTACCTCAGCGCCAAATGTGAAGCTCACGCCGCGATCATTTTCGCCCCAACCCATTGTATCCTTATCAGGATCTGACCACAAGAGATCACATAGTAAGCCCTGATCGGGCACATCTGTTGGACGCATAATGCGTCTTATTTGTTCCATTGACGACAAATCGGGACTGAGACCACCGTGACAGCAGAAAATCTTTTCATCAACTGGAAATAGAAATTTTAATGAAATTATTTTATTATTTACATGAGAATTTTCACCTGTATATAGGCTAAACTACATGTGTATTAAAATTTATTTAACTCAAAAAGACATTTGGCATACGTCTGTATGCCTATTATTTAATGTTTGAATCATTAACATACCGATTGCCGCGACAGGCAAACAATTAAAGCAATCTGTAAACGTTTTCCACAGCTTTATTGTATATCGACGTTTGCACTCGTCGTAAAAACTGCAAATAAACAGAAAAAGAAGACCAAATTAACAATGCGCTTTAGTAAAGCAAAAATACGTTTACTAACCCGTAAATTCTATTTATGCTGGCGCATTCGTGATTTCCACGCAACAAGAAAAAGTTCTCCGAGTACTTTATTTTGTAAGCCAATAACAGACAAATAGTCTCCAAAGACTGCTTGCCACGATCGACATAATCGCCCAAAAATAGATAATTCGATTCTGGTGGAAAACCACCATATTCAAAGAGACGAAGCAGATCGTAATATTGACCATGAATGTCGCCTACGTAAATATAACGTAAAATATTAAGTATCAGTAAAATCAAAATAAACCGCTTTGACATGTTAACATAACAGATTTTTAAAGTATAATTAGCATACAAAATATGCACAATATACATATACATATATCTATGCAAACTAAGAACATTGAACAAAAATCCTAAGTCAACAAATCAATAAAACTCTCCAGACGAAAAAGAAATACAGCAGTTATAAACACAAATTTCCTCGCTTACTTTGATTTCGATCAAAAAGCACATAAAATGCTTTGAGCCGTAAAAAGAGTGTTAATACATATCTTCTTGCTTGTCAACTGCCAACTGAAAGTCATCATTCTTTTTTTATTAAAAGCCCAAAAGTAATATATTTATATGTATTTAGGTATATTAGACTTAAATATCATAACTTATGGGGTTAGCGGTAGTTAAAATTTTCAAAAAATCTATTTTTTTTTTATTTCTGCATTTGCTTTAAGTATAATATCCTAGAAATATTCTATAAAAATTAAAATTAAATCCGACAAATATTTTTATTTTTTTGCATGATAAGGGTTCTCGGGCGCTCTGGAACAATCGAGAGTAGGTTGTTGTTGTTGTAACTGTTATCTAGTCCCCGCTTGGATGGTAAGTCATAGTTTGGTTATTGTCGAGGTCATCTAACGGGAGGCCCAAGAAACGGGCTGTTTCGACGGGGTCGGACCATAGGGAAAAGGGTGTTAGATGAGTTGGGTTTGTTGGGCATGCAAAGAGGTGGTTAGTATAATGCGGGGCCTCATTGTATGCAGGACATATATTTGGTATGTCGGGGTCTATTCTGGATAAGTAGGAGTTTAACCCGCTACCATATCTAGAACGAAGTTGCGCGAGAGTAGGTAGCTAGCAGCCCCTGCAAGTGACAGTAATTTGATTGTAAAACTTCAAATGCGTTTTTCTCAAACTATGTTTTTTGGTCTAGTCATCTTTTTGAAATCATAACAAACTACTGCCTCAACGAAGGATTTTTTTATTTCGGTTTTTTATCAACTATTATTTGTTGTTTATTTTGTTAATTAAAAAGCTTCGATCAGGCACTAGATTAACTATTAATAAAAAAAACTTTTATCTGTTCCATTGATTTTACAAGTATATAAAACCCAAAGGATAGTGAGTCACCGCAAAAAGCTACGGTTCGAATTGGATCAACACAAACAGCCTTTACTTTTAAAATTATAAATTTTTTTCTCAAAGTTCTGTCAAGTCATTGCGAAACCTTTTTTTAATGGTGCTATGTTTTTACTTTGATAAATTTAAACAATTTACTGGCAAACGAAAATTGTTTAAAATTGTAATTGTTTCATGTCTCTGATTGCTCCTAACCCTTTATATGCTAAAATAATCTACAGTACTCAAAGTACTTTTTCATGTCTGACTATATGCTAAAATAATCTAAAGTACTCAGAGATATTACAAGTAAATGTTGTAGGCATGCATAATCTTCATTTATTTTCACCTTTCTCTAATACTATTTGTTATTGTTGCAATTGTCATTTATTATTGATAATATACAATTCCTGAATGACTATGGTAGAAATAAATACCTCTCAACTCGTTCTAGTTACGTAAATGAGTATCTATTTCGAACGTTTTATAATGACTATATTGGGATTTTACTTGTATTTCAGTATTATTAAAGTATGTGGAACTAAATTTATTTTACGCAGTAAGTAAAGCCTTACCGCAAATTTTCAAAGGTGCTTCCAGTTCCAGCAGAATAGGTTGCGATAGGAATATTTCACGTGACTTGAGGCATAGACCACGTATTTCACTCTCCGATAGTTGAACATTTTTTCCAGGACGTGCGCCGCGCACTAAATGTTGATGTAACAAATAAATTATGTATAAAAATTTAAATGTGTTAGTTTAATCTCTAGAGAAACTTGTTGATACCCACCTTCTAATAATCGTGAAATAATGCTATCGATGTTCATGATGTCGGACATGACGGGCTCACGCCAAAGTACCCAAAATTAAAACACCACCTAATGTACACCTGCACTAAATAATACGTTGCTAAACAATAGAAATTATTTTTCTGTTGCCTGTTTGTTGTGGTCCGTTTGTACGTCGCTGACGACGCAGCTTGTATGGTTGTGCTTCCCGTTTTACCCAACTTTTTTTGCTCACTACTAATTGAGGTATAAAATTGCTAGTGATAGCTTTTTCAATTGCGTCTCATATGTAGATGCTTTTTATTTGTTTTGTATAGTTAATTTGTGAAGTTAATTTCCAAATTAGTTATTTAATTTTTTGAAAACACAGAGTTCATATACCGGGGCAAATTATTAGTTTTTATTTAATGCACGAAGCTAATTTAATTGAATGTAAGGCGACGCGTTTATACCTTCATTGTTGGCAAGAAATGGCAAAAACAACAGTTTGCCGTCGTTAATCACTCATTCGATTTTTTTCTTTCTGGGTGGCGGGTGGGTGGTTTGGAGACACAGCGCAGTACCGCGATTTGCTTTTCACACCTTGCTCAACGATTTTCACCACTCACACATTGACTCTATTGAATTCGTTTTGATAGCGTTTACATAAAAGTTAACTGTAGCGCCCTCGAACAATATTTTTCCCGTAAAAAATTCTTTTTGTGCGTTTCAATGAGAAAAATCGTTATTTATACACTTTTTACCGTGTGCTGCTCACGCAAAAATCCTACAAGGTTTTCTTTTGGGGGAAAATTAAGCAGTACATGAAAACCATAGAGGACAGCACCTAACATTAATAAATGTCGTGGGAGAGGAAAAAGATTATTGTTTGACATTTAACAAATGCGTTCGGAAAATGTAAAACATATATAAGTCAAAGAACGTTTATCATAATATACGTTCTCTGCTTTAAAATCATAGAAACAAAAATATATAAATTCTGCAATGGCAACGCTAACAAGAATATCGAAAAAAGCAAGAATGATAAAGGCAGAAACCAGTGATCGTATTTTAAAAGTTCTCTACAGAAACAAAACAAACGAAACCGTGTTTAGGCAGAATCCCATAATCTTAATAAAATTAAACAATTTTATCAATAGTTAATTGGCTAGATAATTTACGCACCATAAAAATCTGATATTTGTAAAATAAATATGGTTTGGAATATTTTTTAATTATCTCAGAAAGTGGACAGCTGTTTATTAATTTTTTACAACTGGCAACTTAAAATAAGGAAATATTTTTTCGGGTATCCCGAGTAAATTGTAAGAAGCGTCGTAATAGTTATTTTGTGTATTCGCGGCTTTTTCTAGTTTACTTAAATATACGGAAGAAAAGTAAACGACAAATGATTAAAAAATGTCCAGTACAAGTGCCAGTAGTATGCAGAATGGTCACAATGATTTTGCTAATCCTCGTTTAGAGAAGCACATGACCTTTGTGTGTCCAGAGTGCGGCGTAGAATTCGAATCACAACAGGAATGGCGACGCCATTTAAACGAGGAACATGATTACATTAACAAAACTCCAGAAGATTTTGATTTTAAAGAAATCAGTGAAAGCTTCCATGAATGTCAGATTTGCCATAAATGGGTGGCTAACGCTAATCAGGCCATTGCATTACTCCAGTATCACCGCTTTCTACACTTGCCATTTAATCGCACATATCGTTGCCGGCATTGCAGAGGTGGATTCACGCGTAAACGTGCACTATGCGAACATCTCTATCGCTTTCATAGCCGACAAATTATAATGACAGACAAAATGAAGAACGTCGAGGAAGAAACCACAACCAGCACCAACTTTGCACAAACAACTGAGCAGAAAATGCTGCGCGATCCACGTTTGAATAAGGAATTCTATTTACGTTTTATATGTCCACACTGCGGTAAGGGTATAGAAAGGTTTGACCAGTGGCTTAAACATTTGGATTTGCATCAATCTACATCTAGTGATTTACGAATGCATCGTATCTCCGGTTCCCGAAACCACTACTGCTTGCAATGCCGTAAACTGCTGTACACCAACGAACAGTCAAAATTGCAACGGCATCGATTTACACATCTTCCTTTCCGATTGTATTTTAAATGCGCATTTTGTATGGTAAAGAAATCATTTAAATCAGAAATATTTCGACATTTCGTGTATGCTCATCCGCGTCATTTTAACGAAGCTAAACCATACATTAGGAAACCAATTGAATGGGGAGCGAAAATAAATGATCGCCTCAATACCGAATTAGATGCAATTTTGAGACGTTATAAATGTACGGATAGTTATGAACAAGGAGGCACAGATGCAGAAAATAGTCGCGGGCGACCGGTTAAGAAACAAACTTATGCCAGTGAAAAAGCTCGTCTTGCCGCCCAAAAACAAACCTCTTCGTCAACAACCACTGGTACATTGCGGCGAAGTAATATACGAATAATTAAGGATTTCGATATGGTGCAGCAAAAATGTGGTACTACTCCTACTGAGTCAGTTACAGAAGATGACTTTGAAGAATTGTGTGCCGATGTTTTTGAATCTATTGAAGATGAATTGAAAACTACTTTAATCAACAAAAGCAATGATACTAAGAAATTGGTTAAAAATGAAAATATGAAACAAAAAAATCCACCGGATGAAGAGTTAGTCATAAGCATTGAAATTGATGCAATCGATGAAAATAACGAACTATCTGAACACAAACAGACACCACCACGAAAACGGTTAAAATTATCCGAAGCTAAAACATCAAGAATTACAAATGAAGAAACACCAAACGAGAATAGTACTGAAATAACAAAAAATCCCCCAACTGTTGAGGCCAACAAGAAAGCAATATCTGACGCAGATATTATTTATCTTTGTCCAGAATGTGGTAATGAGTTTAGCGAACAAGCTACTTGGCGGACACACGTTTTTAAAGAGCATAACATTGAGAATGCAATTCAAACTAATTTTCAATTGCTTGAAAATAAACAGTCTTACCTCTGCCTTGACTGTATGGATGTGCAAAATACTACCCAATTTGCCGAACTACAGCGCCATCGTTTCACCCATATGCCGTTCCAAGCATATCTTAAATGCAAAGTGTGTTCCAAAACTAAATCCAGTAAACCAAAAATGTTGCTTCATCTTCAACAATGTCAGGCCCATCAAAAAAATTCGGTTCAAAAGAATACAGCATCAAACAATAACGAAGCCACGTTACATTTCCATCCATGCACAATTTGTATGAAATACTTCACAACAAAGGAGCGACTGCAGCTACATCAGACGCAGGCATGTGTAGTGCGAGCAAATGGTTTACGTACCACAAAGTGTGGTAATAACACCAATAACAGCTCAACTATCGCGAACAACATGAAATTGCTGATTCATTTAAAACAAGCACGCGCACGTATGAAACGTTTACTAACGCGTGAAACAAACTGATTGGAAACAAACAATTCCAAAATATTTTTTGCCCAAAATTTGAATTATAATAAAAGTTATGTTACATTAATATTTTTATAATATAAATGAATTCCCTAGAATAATATTATTTACAATAAAATCTTGAACTAATTTGTGTCGATTGTGGATGGGAATGAGCGGGTGTTGTTCCCCTGTCTTAGTGCATTCGGTCGCAGGATATATGGGCCTTGCTCGAGCACAGCAAGCATTGGTCAGCAACCAGCACTTATGGATTGCGTAAGCATTCTGGCGCAGAGTTTTACCTAACCTAACCTAACCTTGTATCGATTGTGTAATATGTTTAATAATTGACAGTTGATTCTAGTGAAACAAAAAGTTATACTTATGGTTGTTGTAGCAGCAAAAGTCAAGTCAGTATTGATTCATTATTATCTTAATTTTAATTAACTATATTTCTACTTGTGTTTGAATTCTATTTAAGCTGCGTAAGAATATTTACATATGTATATAAGTATAAAGCCGGCCTTGAGAGATATATCACTGGACTACTTTACAATTTACTAATTTTTTTAAAAATAGATATTAAGAAAAATCCACTAAATATTCTATAGCTTCTATAGAAAAAAATATATTATTTTAACGAAGTCAAACGTTGTTCTCGTCTCGTTGATATATTAAGCCTCCTAAAATTTGTATGCATAATTAATATCCTTATACATTGAAAAAACAAAAAACTATAAATCTCCCAAAAGGGCAAAATGGAAATTATCTACAATAACAGAAATAATATAAACTAGTAGTTTATTTATGTAAGTACTATTATTGCTTGTCCTTCGCCCATAATCCCATAGACCAAACTAAACTACTTTCCGTGTCCACGTAGATTTCTTCAGATGCATACGTGTTTGATGTGCTTACCATAAAACCGAATTCCAAAGTAGATTGTGCTGAAGGTATTTAGCAATTAGTTAAGATATTTTCAATAAGTTAAAACAAAACGTACTTAGATTCCACTTTAATCCTCTAGTAGTTACTTTATCCGCTTTACTCCCAATAGGCATTAATGCACACCAATGTTGACAGTCGACCAGTTCTTTTGGAACTACAATTTTATGTTTACCCGGTAAAAGTAACCAGCTTAAAGATGAACTACTCAAGAGATAAATGCTTAGGATATCGCTTTGGAGCTTATGTAATGTATTTATATTGGCCATAATGTGATCCAGGCGTCCAGTATTATCTTGGAATACAATTATCTTATCAATATCATTAGCTTCCAACTGAGGCTGTAAAAAGCGCACCGCTTTTGTAAAATCGGTTTCATTCTGATCAGGTGTGTGTTGATACTTAATATCTGGAGAATTAAAATATTTCCTTGTTTCTTGCGTAATTGAATCGAAATCGCCTGTTATAAATTCCGGTAGATTTACGCTTTCATTTGACTTTTGTATAAATTCCTTCCAACAATTTGCACCACCGTCTACTAAACAACGTATTTTAGCTATTCAATTACAATCAAATATATAAATCAATAAGACTTTCTATATTTAGTAAAATTTCATATCATAATTTACCATTTTGCCATATATTTGTTGCAATATCCGTCGGCAAGTGAAGCGATCGGTTCAGTACAATGCAGGCATAGTTACCATTTGCTTTACGACAGCCACTAACAATCTCACTAGGACTCCACAGACGCCGACCGTTCAACTTGCAACAGTCAAAGTTGGATGACAAGTTTTCTCCATTTGCGTACATTAATAATTCAATATATTTTTGACGGTATAGTTTAGCATGCAGCTTAGCGCAAAACAAATCAGAATGTTGTCTTAAAAAGTGCACAGCTAACTTCACAGTTCTTTGTAAATGTAATATGTTCAGAGTTGCCCATCTCATTCTGGTTTATGTTTACAATTGATAACCATTATTTACATTTAATACTTGATTATTAATATTTTATCTGTTAAAAAAAATTCCATTTATTTATTATCACCGGTATGATTGCTGTGTAAACAAATCTAACAGGTACTTAGATATGGCAAAATAACAGTCGAGATAATAAACGCTGCAGTTACATGATCAAGTTGGTCACACAAACTACTTGTCAAAATTGATTTAAATTGATAGCAGTGGCGTAGGCTGCAATCAACATGATATCAGAATAGTTTCAAAACGTCGTTATGGAAATCTTTTAAAGTTCTTGAAGTTTTTCACGAAAATAATAATATAATGAAAAGATGAAATGGCAGAAAAGAGATGAGTTGAGAAAGGCAATATCGTTGTACTAAACCAATTATAGAGTATATTCAAAATCCAGATGTTTGCTTTGCAACTACGGACATAACTTTTGACAAATTTGGTTTAATACGGGCGGTAAGTACGAAAGGAAGGAATGGCGGTGACTGTTTGAACTATAATTCCTTGCAAGCAAAGTGCATTATATAAATGTGCGATGAAGGCTTATATTGTACAATGGCAAAATGTGAGACCACCATCCCAACATACAAATGAAATATGCAACACACTCTAGGTGTTGCGTAACTGAACCAGAGAACTTAGAAGAACTTCTTCTGAACCGCACAAACATTTGCAAAAATTTTATGAAAAGCAATGACAGAAAAACTGGATTCGAGTTGCTGGACTCTATTTGTTTGCGTAAACGCACAGAGCGACACCAAAAGAGAATTTGCCGATATTGAGCGACAAAAGAGTCACCATGTAAACGCGTCGAGTATCGGATAACTAATACATTAATTACTGTTAACTTAGCGGTAACCAGTTAGCTAACTTTTAATCGTCTTGTAGCGATATTACTCGGACATCAATAAAACATATACCCAATATTTATCCCTCTTAGAAGTTGTAGTTTTAATAAATTCATAAATATCATTAATTCAATTTTCAGTATTTTTTTGTAATTTGAGAATAAAAATTCTTTCCCCAGTAAATGTGACAACTCATAGAGAATATCAATAGTAATAGTACATAAAGACAATAATTTTGTACCTTTACTAAGATAATACATTGTTTCAAAATTTAATTTTATTTAATGACTTATAACCATAGCGAATGGCAGGTACTCGATTGTTGCCCATACAAAAATCTATGTGTAAACATCGATTAAGGCTTTACTAAACGGCGCTCTTGCCGCTTTTTCGCAAATTTCACAAACACTGAACAACCTCAAAGCCAAAAAACTAGCTTAGCATCTTTTGAACAATCTCAGTACACCGCTAAGCAAAAATGGTGGAAGTATCTTCCAGACTTTGAGGAATTTTCAAATAAATCTTTTGCAAAACCTTTCAGCTTGCATGGATCTTTGTATTTGTTCTCAAGTTCAAAATCTTATTGAGTATTTGAAAGATGAATTGAATTTCAGTTTTAAGTGAAAGCGTTGTGTATACATGTAAGTGAAAAATCGTGGGTTGGCTGCCATTATAATTCTAAAAAGAGGAAAGGGATCATCAAAAAGTAGCCTAAAATATAAGACAAAAAGTGAATAAAGTAGAAAGCCATGAAAAATTTGATTAAACTTTTGCACTAATTAAAATATATTTCTATTACAAGAAGGAATATTCTATTATTGAATCGGAAAAGTAAATGTAATAAAAAATGGATCAACTATTCATGTTCTCAAATGAGTATACAGAGGATGACGATAACAATGCTAAAGATGGTAGCAATAAAGAGGAAGCAAAAATTAAAAGTGAGCCTCAAGAAATTGTCAATGATGGTGAAGATGATAATAGCTACATAATGCCCGAATCTTTATTGCAACAAATGACAACAACTCGTGAAGAAGATGGAGAAGGAGAAGATGATAACACAATTTTTAATTTTGGAATTGATCAAACTGCGAAAACACGTTCCTTATCAACTATAGTGAAATCAACTTCCACAAAGAACCCTCAAGATGCATTAATTAACTATGATATGGCCATAATGTATATATGCCCGGCTTGCGGTGCAGAATTCGATACGCAAAGTGTTTGGAAGGGGCACATAAATGGAGTTCATGAATATAATACTCGGCGTGGATTAAATTTTGTGCCAATCGATAAGTTGTATCACAGATGTTTAGAGTGCAACAAACCCATTGCAATGCATGCAATGGAAAATTTGTTGAAACATAAATTTACTCATTTGCCACATCGCTGTACTAAATGTAAAATCTGCCATCGTCGTTATAAATATCGGCAGGATTTAATTGTACATTTGCGTTTGTGTCATCGTGAAGAGGTGATATTAATGATGCATAGCGAAAACACACCTGTATCCAGGCATGAAAGCAAGCGAGCATCTGTCCCTGCTGTAACAAATGCTCAATTAGAAATAAAGGATATAAAAGGAAATGCTGTTGATATTTTTGAGAACACATCTGATAGTGTTGAGGTAAAAAATGAACCATTTGATCCCGACGATCAAGACGCTGAAAGTTTGCTGGTACAAACAGGGAGTAAATCCAAATATCCGCAAACCTCAATATTAGAAGATGCACTTAGTCGAAGTTCTTCACAAGTTTCCGAACAGCGACCAAGTGCTGAAGAGAAACAATGTCAAAAACATATAAAATATATTTGCCCAGTTTGCAGCACGGAATTCATGACTAAGAATGAATGGCAGGAGCATGTACAAGAAATGCATAATTTTTGCACAATTAGTGGACTTGGGTTTCAGAAACGTTTTAACTCAACGGCTGAATGTATGGAATGCAACCGGGTAAGTAGCAAGAATTTTATATACCACCCAATATATACATATGTATTTAAATATTAATTATTGTTATATTTATCAACGTTTTATTTTTGCCATTCAGGTTTTGCCTGACAACTCAATAGACCAACTGCAGCAACACAAATTTTCACATCTTCCTTGCAAAACGTGGTTACGTTGTAAGCTTTGTTTACGCTCGTTTATTACCTACAAGGATATAATAAAGCACTTGCTCAACCAACATCGACTTGATGATGAACTCGACGCAGATATGGATGACAGCCAAGACTGTCGTTCTTTTGACCCATACAGTGCACCATCGAACGACTATGAAGACGATCAAGCGTTAGCTGAGGACCAACTAAAAGGCGATTTACGTGATATTTATGAAACACAAATCGATTATTTATGTCCAAAATGTGGAAAAGAGTTTTTTGAAAGAAAAATGTGGAGAAAGCACATTGTTAAAGCACATCATTATACCGATTTGAAAACACTTTGTTTTGTTGCTGTAAACGAGCACCAGTTGCAATGTCGACTATGCGGTAAAGTTATTACAAATGCTTACGGGGTGCAAAACGCTCAACAACATTACTTTACACATTTACCGCACAAAGCGTACATTCGCTGTCGCATATGTACAAAATCGTATACAGATCGCAAAGGATTGGTGAAGCATCTTCGTAAAGTACATCATATTAATCCCAAAACGGCAGCGGCAGCGGCAGCAGCATTAGCTAAAGCAAATAACAAGAGCATACGGCCGCCTTTATTAGCAACATACGAAAATTCGTCATCTTCACAAATGAGCAGACCGCGTAAAGCACCAGTTAAAGAAATCGTTCGTCATAACGGCGTAATATATGAGATACAATTTTTAGACGAGGATAGTAATGATGACACCTCGTTTGGTGGGAGAAATGGAGATGGTAGACATGACAATAGTTTTGCTATGCCCACGAGAAGACATGTGTGCTCGGATTGTTACTCAACATTCGCTACGGCACAAGAATTACAAAAACATACCCGAGAGCAACATGACTTCAAAAAACCGACACAAGCAAATGTCTGCGGTAGATGTTATTGTACATTTGAGTCAGAGCAAGCGCTACAAGACCATAAACTGAAGCATCATTCATCGAATTCTAATGGAGGTAATGGAGGTAACAATGATGATGATGATTTACTCTTGGTACCTACTGGCAATGAGGAAGTGAAAATGAACACCGCTGATGATACTCCAAATATTGAACAATATTTCTGTTATTTGTGTCCTGCATGTGGCGAGGAGTTTAAAACGCAATACGAATGGCGTCGTCATATAAACGACATACATTATTTCGATCGACGATATGAGTTGAATTTCAAACAAATCGATAAATTCCATTTCCAGTGTTTGGAATGTAAGGAAATTGTGAACAGTGCTAAATTGAAAGGTCTGCAAGACCATAAATTTCGTCACTTACCATATAAATTATATATTAAATGTCGGCTATGCAGCACATGCTACAATCATAAACCCAATGTGGTTACACATCTGTGCACGCAACACAATTTTGCACATCCACGTAAATCGTCCAGCTCAAGTCCAGCTATATCACCAGCACCGCAAATGCGTAATACATATAATATGCAAGCAACTACATCTAACACTTTCAAGCCTTTGTCAACTGAAAGTCTAATTTCCTTACACAATGCAGTAGAACACGAAACTATTACCTACAATTGTCCGCAGTGCAATGAACCATTTGACACACATGCCTTATGGCGTCAACATATCGTCACTGTACATGATCTTAACAGTCGTCAAGGCTTGAATTTCCGTCAATTAGACGCACACCATTACATATGTTTGGAGTGTTACAAACGTGTCACAGTAACTCATACCAAGGGCGCTATAGGTCAACTGCAGTCGCATAAATTCCGCCATTTGCCGTATAAGTCCTTCTGTTGTACCAAATGTGGTGGTGTCTTTGTGCGCAAGCAAATGTTCTTTAAGCATCTAAATCGTGCCACCAATAGGTGTCCCCTGATGGGCAATGAACGCGCAACACATCTTAATGTCAAAACAAAAAGTTATTATAAGAATTCAGTACGCAATATGTACGGTCAACAAAGCGACGATAGCAAACCGTTGAAGAATCTCAACTTCTCGGTGACATCAAATGAAAGGTGTCCATACATCATACAATGCCCACAATGTGGCATAAAATTCGAAAAATGGCATCCATGGCGTGATCACATCGAAAAGGAACACAAGCTAAATAGTATGGAATCATTGAAATTTAAAAAGATCAATGATCACCTACACATTTGTATACAGTGTAAGGAACGTGTCAACGGTGCAAATTTTGTAAACCTGCAAACACATCGGTTTAAGCACTTGCCATATGGCACTTATTTACATTGTCGTTACTGTGATGTCAGATACTATTATATGATTAACATTATAAAACACATGAAACAAAAACATCCAAATCATGGATTGGAAGAGCTCGAATTACAATTAGAAAGTACACCAGACGAAGAGTCTGTCGATTCTCCGCCGGTCACACTGAGTATGGATGTTGATAAAGAGAGTGATGTGTGCAAGGAGAAAAACATCGATAACATAACCGATGGTAGTGGTGATAATAACAAGACAAACGATGCTGATGATGATGATGCACTGGTCATCGCTGACGATGGCGAACACAATAATAAAGTTTCTGAAGAAAAAGATATTGATTATGGTTTTGGATGCGAGTCCTCAATATGTTCATACATTATACTATGTCCACAATGTGGTATCAAATATGATAATTGGTATACGTGGCGTGATCATATATCAACGGTACATTCACTAGACAGCCACAAAACGCTGAATTTTACGAAAATCTTCGATTGGTTGCAGGAGTGCAACGAGTGTAAAGAGCGTGTAAATGCCACATCGCTGTTTAATTTGCAAACGCATAAATTCAAGCATTTACCATATGGCACTTATCTAGAGTGTCGCTACTGTGACGCCAAATATAACTATATAATACACATTGTTAGACATTTGAAGGCGAAACATCCAGAGCATGCATTGCAAAAACAAGATAGACCCATTGATATTGACGAAACCTTGTTGGACAATGTTGACGATGTAGCTGATGAAGAAGCTGCAGTAGAGTGCAGTGTTGGTGCCGAAGCAAAGGGTGTTAATAATTCGGATGGAGATGTAGACGCTGAGGGTGATGATGATGAGGATGTTGAGGATGTTGACGATGACATCGATGATGACGTTGATGATGATGACGACGACGATGACGATGAAGATGAAGCTGAAGATGCACATAATAATGATGGAAATGTTGCTGGCGAAGTTGTCGAGCGAATGGATGTTGATGCTAAAAGCGATGATGATTTTGAAGATGGTGATGACGACGATGATGATGATAATGATGATGACAATGATGATGATGATGATGAGGATGATGATGATGACGATGACGATAGTGAAAATTATGGTACTGATGGTAATGCAGAAGATCCAGCTATTGACAGCGAAAATACAAACGTAGAAGCGCCAAATGGTGTAGTAGAAGACATTGAACAAGTTGAAAACCCCGAAGAACAATTTGTTCTTGGTTAATTCACTTAAATAACTTTACCCTAAATTATGCATCATATTTGCCCTATTGAGTGTTCACGATTAAAAAAAATGAACAGTTGTGAAAATGCATACATTCTTAACATTCTATTAATAAATTGTTTAAAACTTTTTTCTGTTTGATTACAAAGCAAGAATAATAAGAAATATAAAATCTCTAAGTGTATTCACTCCATAGTTTTTAATTTTTTTTTAATACAATAATGATTATTATAAATTTAAAATATAAGAGGAATAATTATTTTTCAAATATCTCATACAAAGTGGAAGTGTGAAAATATATAAATATTAAAAACAAAGTTCAGCAATGAAATGTTTAAAACGCATTAGTATACTAACACATTCTAATAACTTATATTCATTTACGTTTCATTTAATATACAACAGATCAAGTCAAAGTGGCACGGTATAAAATAGTATATGATAAAAAAATCAGATTTTTTTATATTTCTATTAAAAATACAATACTTTTATTTTTTTTTGCTTCTTTTATTTTTTGTTTTTGTTTTGCTTTTACTTTTTGCATATTTTGCAGTACTTGATATAAATTTGATCGAATTAATCGAAACATCATATTGGTAATGGTTATAGCAATTGCTTTAGACAGTTATACACCTACTGATTTTATTTTGACATTTAGCATATAATATTTTTTATACAATATTCGTTTTCAAATTCTATTTTCATTTATATTCATATTTATATCACCAATACCGAACAAAAAAAATGTATGGATTTTATATTCATGAAAAAGAATAAGTCGTAAATATTAAAAAAATTCTTTGTGACACCCTAGCAGCAATAATGATAACACAATTTTTATTAAAACGTAATTAATGTAATTTATAAGTATCATGATATGTATACATACAAGTATATACATACATACGCTCCCTAGGATAATAGCATGTACAAGAATTCAATAAAATATACTGTATCACATAATGAGCTTGTTTTTCTTATTGTGTTATTTTTTGTATATTTGCTTCTTTTGTTTATTTAATTTTTTTTGTTTATTTAATTCTTTTTTTGTTTATTTAATTAAGGTTTGTTTATTTAATTATGTTTTGTTTATTTTTATTTTGTTTCGTTTATTTTTATTTTGTTTTGTTTATTTAATATTTTTTGTTTATTTAATTTGTTAGTTTATTTAATTTTTTTTTGTTTATTTATATTTGTTGTGTTTATTTTTATTTAATATTATCTTTTGTTCATTTTTATTGCTTTTATTTATAACTATTTTTTCTTTTTATTTATTATTTTTTTGTTTTTATTT